GAAGTTCATGCCAGTTTTATGGTTTCATGGTGCACGGTCTGGGGTTATCATGCTGCTGTTGCCTACACTCTAAACCCTAAGCCCCTAAATCCTGAATTGCTAACATTCAGGCTGTTAGTTCATTGCTTTCCGAAAGTGCCCGGGTTTATCCATAAGCCCCAAAGTAGTTCCTTTTTGGGATTGCCTTATAGATTTCTATATATGAACCCCAAAAAGGAAGTACTTTGGGGCCTGTGGGTAAGGCCTGAGACATCGGAGCTGCGACGCTCACGAATCCGCGGTCGGACAACGAGGAACTAACACAAAGCTTACCCAGCAGGCCAGGGATTGCAACACGCTCATATTATTACGCATACCAACTGGCTGCCACATCAATAGTTACACCTATCAACCGTAAATCATCGGAGAGGCCCATGTATTTACAAGTGTATACTTATTCCTTAGCGGCTTCCTATGTTCGAGATACTTCAGGGTCGAAGCATATACTATACAGGCTCTTTAGGGTTAGACATAAAACCCCCAATTATGCCACAGACGTTCACCTGCCCAGCACTGCTCGCTGCAACAGGAATGCCAGAAGCTGGGCATGTCAATGCCGCTGCTCTGCAACTAAGTATACGGCCACAACTAACGTAGGAGTGGGAATGAATGGTAGTATCTTTGCTTCAAGTTCTTGCTCTTAAATATGAAAATATAGCTACCAAAAACCAGCTCCATTTCTTAGTGCCCGTATACCCGGCTATGAGCAAGAACAGACGCCGGTAGATCCCACAAGTTGCACACCTAAAATACACACACGCATACATACCTACCTACATACATATATATATATATATATAATGCATTAACCTTTTGCTCCACATACAGACGACAATGTGACAGGTCAATGCATGGAGAAACCTGGCTGATAATGATAAGATAACGGGTGATAATTGGGATCCATATATAAGGGGCCCTTAAAGAAAGGGATTAATCTAGGGTCTATCTGGGGTCCACGTTGTGTGTAGCGCTGACGTCGATGTAAGCCCGGGAACACAAAATCCAAATCCTAACGGCTAAAGCCTCATCCTCATGGGCACAGGGACCAGAATGGTTTAGGCTTGGTACAAGAAGTCCGAAGGGGTGCTTGTACTACTTACGTCCCAAGTACTCCGGCACAGACTTCTAGTGTTTCAGGCCTGTCATGCATGAAATCGCTTGTGAGGTTTCCGCGACACTCGGAAGTGATAGGGAAGTCAGAGAGTCGGTATCAACTGTGGGTTACATGACAAGTACTTCAACTGCGCGTATCCGATGCTTAGTCCTGTGTGTTACATTTGTTCGTTCCGCCCCGTCCAAGTAAGTCAGCTTTGGCGAAGTTTCATGCAGGTATTTCTGGTGGGACGATGCAATCGAGCAGCTCGCAGGCGGGAATGGACACGCCCTGCAACTTTCCTAGCATCCCGTGTCAGACTGCTGTTGAATTTCTAGTAAGGGATCTTACACTGGGTCCAAGGCTTGGCGTGTGTGGAATGTGCAGAGTTTAAATTTACTGATTACTGTAGGTATTGCAGGATATATCCCGATTTGTCCTACCTTCCACCAAAAACTCTCCAAAAAGTAGATGCGGCTTTGTGGGCGACAACACCTGAGCCCTGGCCACGCTCATCAACCCACTGTAGGTGCCTTAATAATTATAATAGGGTTTGGGGGGCCCATTATACTATAACTATAATTACGATGAGGAACCCCCTGAATAGTATAGATTTTGTTAAAGCGCCTACTGTATATTACTCTGCGACAGCATATCCACAGCGAAGCACCCAAAAGCTTTTGTCGGGCATTGTCCGTGCTCGCGCGCTGAAGCTCCTGCACCCCAAACCCAACCTTGCCCTCAGGGTCCATGTAGCCAAATAATACATACAGTGGGCCCAATGTACCCATATAGGGAGTACTTTAAGGCCAATGTATGTACTATATAGGTACATGGACCCTTATACCCCAAACCCTCATGGATCCCTTAGAGATCCCTTTAAAGGAACCCTTAAAGGTACACCCCTTAAAGGAGACCCCTATTTAGGTACATGGACCCTTAGGGTTGTTTGATTGTTTAAATCTCGTCATCTCTGTCCTCTTCAGGTACTTCTTCAGACCATGGCCCATAAGAGCCCAAGAAGGGCTGAGCTGCAGAAACCTTTGCCCGATAAACGCCCGACCCCAAACCTTTCAGCCCCAAAGCCCAAGGTATACCTTACCCTACCACAACCTACTTTTTGTAGGGCCCCTTATAAAATTCATATTAGGTGTATAAAGAAACCCTACAAAAATAATTAGGTTATGGTAGTTTAGGGTAGGGTTAAGCCCGAAGACCTCCTGAAGGCCAGCTCTGTGTCCTTCAGTGTCCGGACGGCCTGATATCTCATCAGACGCTCCGCTCGCAAGGGCGGCTCCATGCGGTTTAGGGTTTGGGCCCGAACTCATCCAACTCCGAAATCCTACGGCAATCCCCATAAAGTTGGAAACCGGATCAAGGTCAAATAGTGCTGGGATTCCCTATGCATTACTCTTAAGGATTGGATATTGGGTTTCCAACTTTTGGGCTTCTACTGTGTCTTGTCCATGTCGCCCAAATAGTATACACTTTGGCTTTAGCGTCGTTCTTATATAGGTGCTTTGCGCCTAAAATATAAACTGCTTGGGCATACCGACCATTCGGGTATGCTGAGGTAGATGATGGGTTGCACGGTTGCGTGACTCACTGTTCCCACGGGTGGAAAGGCATGGCGCACCAAAATGCATTTGCTTGGCAGCTTTCTTCGTTACTATGATTATGTGCTTCCCCTTGCGCTTCTAGGCCTTGTGCAAATATGTTTTGAAAACGTACGGCCTGAAATCCTATCCTAATCATTAATGACTTAAGCCCCCTAAACCCCAAATTCCCCTAGAGAGACCCTTAACGGAGCGTGCAGAAAAAATCCAGTGTACTCTTCGAAGACCTAAAGGTTCCCAGCCGTGCCCGTCTCGATTTCTGCTCGACCGTAAACATCAGGGTCCGTGTGCTGAAACGTATGCACAATCTATATCTATACCTACATCTGTATCTGTACCTATTTATTAAAACTGTATCCATATATACATACACATACGCGCAGACATGTTGTGTGTGTGTGTGTTTACACACACATACATATTTACACAGGCATAAATTTGCGTGTATATATATATATACATATACAAGAAGCCTTGAGGGGGTTCCAATATAGATACCCACATAGCTACTTTGGGCTTAGAAAGTATATACAGGCACCTGGACCCTTAGGGGAAGATCGCCGGACTCATTTCCCGTTTTTCGGTAAAGCGGCATTCTACCGAGGATGCAGTGCGTCCTACCTTTGCCACCAGGCCGGGTCGGGAAGTGTGGTCTTCGCAAATCCTGCATTTATGCCCGGCATAGGCATCTCTGAGCGTGGGCTCCTTTTGGGATCCTAATGAGCTTTATTCATGGAGCAGGAAAAGGGACCCTAGTGAGAAAATTACCCAAAACATGTGATTGCAGTTCGGCAGTTCCGCAGTGTTTTGATGATGCCTTTGAGGCACGGCCTGTCCCAAAAGTCAAGTGCCCATTGATCGAGCCCCTCGCGGAATCGACATGCAGGACGTTCCCTTTGTGCCCCGAAGGCCAAAACCGTTATACCCTTGAAACCCAGGCATTGAACCCCAAAGCCCCGAAGCCCTGGACACCCCCAACATCACGAAGCCTCCATGCTTGAACCCCCAAGTCTCCAAACTACTTGTAGTACGACAAGCAGCTTCAGAAGCCTCCGAAAAGCAGGCTTTCAAAGAGATGCCCCCGGAGCTCCGGGTCCCGACATCATCCCCGAGCCTTCGAGGCCCTTGTTTTTTGCAGTGGGGGGAGGGGGAGAGATGCTATCGAGATGTTAGGCTTTCGGAGTGTTGTTTAAAGGGTTCGTTTACGGTTATATTGCTGTGGGGTTGGTGGTATACGCGGTATCGATTTGGGATATGTGTTAGAATTTTCCTTTTTGTTTAATGTAGAGCCCAAGTGAGAATGATTGGGGCTGTTGGAATCGATACTTAGAATATGATTACCAGGTCTCCCAGTAGTGCCCATTGTGTTTTTGTTTTGGGCCATGTTAGGGTCCAGTTATTACAGCCGAATAGTAGGAACAAAGGTACCCATCTGATACAGGGGCTACTCAGGAACCTAGTGATTACTAGGTCTCCCACTGGGCCCGTTTGCCCCTTCTTGTTTTGGGGTCTCCACCTTACACCATCGTAAAACCGAGCAGCAGTAGGAAACTTGTCATTAGGGTGCTGCTTGGGAAGCTAGTATGGAAGCACGAACAATTGCAAATGCTGCTGCATTCCGTAGGGTTACTTCTGATAAGTATCCTATGACAACCACCAAAACCCTGCTAAAGTTATTCTATATTAAGCTGTTCGGGTTGAGGCTTTATGGTGTAGTTTGTTGGGTCATTGTTGTACTGCTTCTCAAGGGGTGTCTAAAAGGGCAGGGTACTAGGGATTCTTCCAGCACCTTGGAGAACCCTGGGGAACAAATGGGAGACTTGGGGAGTACTGTTTTCTGCGCACGTCACCACACGCAGGCGGTTTTGGGCTTCAGTGCTTCAGGCAATTATTGCTTTGACTGTGTAGCTTTCTACAAATGCAGCATTGGCATGTTGTTTGGGCTTACGGGCTTTGGTTTACAGGTGGTTGTCTTCGGGCTCAGACATTAGAGCATCCGTCTTGGGAGTTATGCTCGCGGACTTCACTCCAAAGCCCTAAGCTCAAAACGGCCGTAAAGCCTAAACTCCAAAACGAATTGAGGGGGTTGTAGACCCTGCCTAGAGCATAGCTTTGCGTGGAATGCGGGTTCAAAGGGTTGTAAAATCCGCACAGGTCCTTGCTTCCGTGTTGTCATGTTTTTGCACCCTCATCCTAAACCCTGAACCACGAACCCGAAATGGCCCTTAGCCCCAAACCCCAGGGGCGAAGCTATGCAGATTCTTCTCCGGGCCTCTCTTTGTGGAACGGAGGCATCGGAATTCAGGGTCGGTTCTTGTTCGGAAGAGCAAAATAGTAGGATATCACCCTTTTCGTTTGATGGAAAACGGTATGACCGAAAATGACCCTTAACACCCACACGTACTGGGAGCACCAGATTCCACCACGTTTTCCGAAACCCTCAAACCCCCAGTCCCTTACCTCTGAAGCAAGCCCCGAACCCTAAAGCCCTATGTAAAACTATAAAGCTTAAGACCTAGAGTAGGCCCTTATTCCCTTTTTAAGGGTTCAGGTTCCCTTATAAGCCTCTTTAACCCAAAAAGGGCACCCTTTTTATTCCTAGGTTACTCTTGGGTCTAGAAGCCCTAAACTCAAGAATCCTAAGCCCCAGGCGACAAATGTCTCCACATCTTCTTGCTTGCTTTGTCTCTTCTTATAAAGTTTGAAGACCAATTCAAGGTTGCCCTCATCGTCGGGCATTTCCTGGGGAGCTTAAGGCTATAAAGTAAAAGCCAGAAAGTTGGAATATGATTATCCTAACCCTTCAATGGTAAATTACAGGGTATCCTACCATGAAACCATATTCCAACTTTCTGGAGTTCCCTATATAAGGACTGGTGGATGTTGGGTTTCGGTCGTTAGGGCTCTATGAACTCAAGGTAAAGCTTTCCGGCGAGTTGACCATGCTAATTGTACGGGCACAATGAAGGCTTAGGGTTACTTGGAGGTTCATTGTGGGTTATAAGGTTATTAGTAGGATAACTATGGTTATAAGTTATAACCTACATTAGGGGACTTCTAGGCCCACTTAGAACTACCCATGAACCTCCAAGACGGGAGCATTGGGCTGACACCATCGAACCGAAATCGGAGTTCCAGACAATGCAGGACCGAAACATAGACCCTAAATAGCATGATCCCTGCCGTAGTCATATCCTCATGGGGGACCCCAGTAATCTTAAAGAAGCCCTCAAATCCCTAAACTTTAAACCGTGATAAATCCTTTGCTGACAGGAAGAGAGATATCTGGCCATGACAGAAGCACGGCTACGCTCCCACGCTGAACTACGTTGATTTCGGGTTTCATAGGGGTTCCGGTAAAGGTTACCTGAAGGGCTGCTCGGCGGGTTTATGGTTTCGGGGTTTGAGGTATTGCAACTTACACACTCAATAGTGAGGTTTCTTCCACCAGGCTGCACTACGCTCCTGCCTACTTGATAGGGTTTCGATTCCCGGCTTCCGACGTGCATCCTCAGGCTCGCACGGCTCGGGCTTGCGACCTGCAAGCTAGGGCGGAATAACTAGTAAGTGGACCCCCGCAGCATGGAGAACAATGGCCTTTTGTAGGTGTTGGGCCAGTATGTTGCCTAATAAGATTCTCTGACCCATAGGCCCAAAAGTAGTTCCTTTTTGGGATTACCTTATAAAATTCTATATATGAAGCCCAAAAAGGAACTACTTTGGGGCCTCTGGGTAGTAGTATTATCGGTAGAACCCCTTAAAATGCTAGTCAGGCCCTATCCTGATTTTCAATGCCCTAAATCACCCGCGTGAGTCGTACAGTCCCCAGAAACCCAGTAACCTGCATAGTTTATATACTTGGTTGTGGATACGACTATAAGCTGCGAGACGTCAATCACCCTGGGGAACCACGCTTATAGAGATCCCCTATAACGACCCCTAAGGGTCCATGTACCTAAATAGGGGTCTCCTTTAAGGGTATCATAAGGGCTCCCTTAAACGGATCTATAAGGCATCTATAAGGGTTTGGGGTATAAGGGTCCATGTACCTATATAGTATATACGTTGGCCTTAAAGTACTCCCTACATGGGTACATTGGGCCCAAAGTATATACTATCTGGGTACATGGACCATTAGGGGACTGTCCAACTTCGAGCCTGTAGTCACTCCAGGTGTAGATTTGGATGAGTCTCTCAGGTTTGGTTAAATCAAGGCTTAGTTTGGGTTTGGCAGCCCAACATGGTGGCGTATAGGCTTCACACAGCCGCAGACAAGCTTGCGTTCAAAGCATGTTCGAAAGTTTTGCTGCGGTTCCAACGAGGACTTGCTGTCGGCGTCACTGTACACCGCCCTTTAGGCAGAACGAATATGGCCGAAGTTGAACGGACACGCGCTGGCGCAGATGCTGCTGCCGCGAGCAACACCTTCCCCGAACCCTAAATCCCAAGGTTTAGGCTCTGAGCTTTGCAAAGCAGGGTGTGCGAAGAAAGCTTTGCTCCCACATGCTTCTCTAAAACACAGGCTGGTTTCGCTCCGTCTCTGGACATCCCAAAACACGAGCCACAGAGCCAAAAACTAGACCCCAAACCCTCGCCCGGCGCTGAACCCTCAGCCTTAGGACCTACACCAGACCCGTGGAACCCTAACGGCTCTCGGCTCCCAAGTGCCTCGCACAAGTTGCCGGCTTTCGGCTCCAAACCAGACTCCAGGTATTGGCATCCTGTTCCAGATCCCCATGAGTGAGGCACCAATGCCAACCCATGTATAGTTTCGGGCTGAGGGAGCAGGTGGGATTTCGATTTCGGAGCAAGGTGTGACGGGTTCACGATCTGGGGGATTGCCTGAGGTGCAGAACGTGTTGCAGGGGTTGTTGGCTTGCAATTTCAAGGTTGGCCTTTATGAAGTTCACTGCGGGGCGAGGGTGAGGGTGATGGGTCTGCACAATTAGGTTGATGTTAAGAATGATTGACTGGCAGGTAATTCAGGAGCATCCGTGTGCCAGGCTCAAGCAAAGCATAGATCATCCCAGCACGAATCATCCGATAGACATGCACTAGGAATAAACAACGCTATTGATGTTGCAAGTGTTAACATCCAGAGCGTTATTATACAACAACAAGCATCATAAACTAAACGCCCTACGTACTAAACCTGTTGAAACGCCCCATACAGCCTAGTGTAGACCCTTACAAAATCCGGGACTCCTAGAGATCATTAGCACTTGCACCTGCATATCGTTGATTTCGCCTTAAAGGGGAGCTAATAACATACTTAATAGGCACCGTAGGGCGAGTTGTTTATACGGTTCGGCACATGGTCCTTCAGGCTTTAGGGTAGTACGTTTGATGATATAAATCCTGCATTACCTTAAGGACACTAAGCTATAGGAATTACGGTACATTCCCTATTATGGGTAATGCAGGATTTCTATCATCAACCGTATCGAGCTCCCAAGCAGCAGGTACGGATTGATCTGGTCCACTGCCCAGCAGGCCCGGACCTGTCAAGGGGAGGAGGGCACAGGCCTTGATTGCAGAGTTGCCAAGGGTTCTGAAGTATATGCTGTCAGGCTTCTGCAAGGCCGATCTATGCACATTACAGTTGTATCTATATCTATGTCTATATCTGTATCTATATCCATATATAATGTTCGTATTTTATGCTGTGTATATATATATATGTATATATATATATATGCATATGTACATCTGTATGGGTGTGTATATTATACACATATTTTTATATATACACATGTATATGTATGTATGGGGTGTTGGGATTGGGGAGTTTAATATTTCAGGATTTTAGGTTAACAATCGGGTTTATGTTGTTTGTTGTTCTGGACGCGATGTATCTGAAGCCTCATAACTTACCTCAATCTCTAGATCGCCAAACCCCCTGGTGCCACACACCATGGCCAAGGCACTCGTGAAGTTTTCCCTCAAAACCAAACCCTCAACCCTGAAACCGTCAGTTTGGAGCTGTGGACTCGGGATATGGGTCTCGGTGCCGGGCCCTATTAATGTTTCAGGACTGCAAGACACCCGCAAGCCTAAACCCTGCTGTAGAGGCTCTGGAACCCAACCTCCTTCCTCTCAGCCCCCCGAAGCTGAAGTTCGGCTAGAGCCGTAATTTGACGCAGCTCAAAAGTTGCAAACCGAGTTCAACATTATTTCAAACAGCAACCCCACATCCCCTAAAGTCACCCCGTGACACTTGCCAAACCTTACCTTCGCAGCACTTGCAGTTGAACACTTTTAAGCCAGCTGAGGTGCGGAGGGAGAGCGCAATTTGGGTGACCTCAAGGTCACGTGCAAGGCGCAGAAGACGTTGATTCTGAAGGATCAGGATTTTGGGGCGGTGGCAAGTACAGCATTAGGATGATTTCGTGCCTGATGGGTTTTCTGAGGTTATAGTGCATGATTCGCCGCCGAATTCAGGCCCACCAGAATGTTTCTGCTTTGAATACCGTTGACAAGGCTTTGTTGGCCCTGTACAGTGTGCGTGATCTCGGACAGTTATACATAGGACATAGGGGTTGACTTCGGAACTCTGCCCTCGTGAGGGGAATCATGAGGAATGAATGCTAAGCTCTTGATTGAAGAGTAAATAAACTGAATTAGTACTTTCGGAAGGGTTCCTTCAAATCCAGATTTGGCGCTCATGCCCGCAAAGACCGCGGGACGTCGTTCAAGACTTCTGTCCCGACATCCTCAGCACGAAGTTTTGTGTGAATTGGAATCACGACTTTGCATCCTTAAGCCGAGCAGCCTCGAGTGTTCTACTTGCGGAACCGAAGTTGTTGAACGGACCTGCTCCGAAGCGAAGTGTTTGAATGAAGCCTCAGCCAACAATGAAAGGCGGAGACAACCGAGCCGGCCGCACGCTATTGGCAGGCTGGGAATGGGTTCAAAACGGCATTTACGCATCAGGATGTACTGGTCCATATTATATGGACGTGGCTGGGAACTTCGGTGAACGACGAGTTGATTGACACGGTGCTTAGCGCAGCAGGAATTCAGAGTTACCTTGAGGGGGCGGAAGAGCTTGCTAGGCCTAGCCTGGCAACTTGCCGTAACTTGCCTACAGGATGTCTTAGAGAGTCGTTCGGCCTGTATTACATGTATAGGCGCACACATGCACATGCAAGAAGTTGTTGATGCTCACAGATTGTCTGTACATCTCAACACCATGAAACTGGTGGTGATGTTTAACATGTTCCCGGTCTTTGGCATCATAGTCCGCAGAACGGGTTTGTTGCTCTTCGGGCTCAAACATCTTTTCTCATATTGCCTGAACGAAAGCTTCCCATGTTTATTGGATCCGAGTTTGGAGCCTAATATAGGAGCCTACATAGTTAGCCAATACCATTTTGGGGGTTCCTTATATACATATTATAACTATAGTATAATAACCCTAAACCCTAAACTCTAAAGCCCTATTCTAATTTTCAAATCTCTATACATATTATAACTATAGTACAATAACCCTAAACCCTAAACCCTAAAGGTCTATTCTAATTTTCAAGGCTCCTGCATTAACTTCAAACCTCAAACCGACCCTTCAGGCCCGGGCCAAGGGCTTCTGAAGCCAAACACGTCTTGAAAACTGAACGGTTCTATAGGGGCCTAAATAATTATTTGGGGGCTTCCTTATCATACCTATAGTATAATACGTCCGCAAGCCCTATTCTAATTGAGGCCCCTATAGTACCTAAATAATTATGGGGGGGGGGGTCCTTAACATAACTGTAGTATAATATATCTCTGCAACGCCTGTTCGAATTATTGAGGCCCCTATAGTACCTGGAGCTCCCCGGTCTTCAACCGCTCGTTCCCAATCCTTCGACGGACGATTCTCGATGTGTCGTTCACTTTTTATCAATAGTCTCCATTGTAGTTCCTTTTCTTGGTTTGGCAAGTTTCATATGTTGGATCCTATAAGGTAATCCCCAAAAAGGAACTACAATGGAGACTGTCGGGTCGGAGTTTGTTTCAAAAACCCTCTAGCATGCTACGGAGTGAAAGCAGCGCACCTGCGGGGTCCACTTAAACACTGGATGTGAGGTTGTGGCTGCTTGGGAGCAACCTGGTTTCGTAGCGGTACAGGAGCCATTGGATTGATTAGACTGCCGAGGCCACGAGGGTCATGGCACTCAACTTCAGCAGCAATCTTAAAAGTTGGTCCTGTGGGGTCTATTTCCAGAACGGCATTATACATGCACACGCTCGGAGGTTTGGAGTTAAGAGCTTGGTGATTTGATGGTTGCCTTGTAAGGCTGTCAGGAGTCACAAGTTTTATGAGAGGAGTTTAGTAAAGTTTCGGGTTTCGGGTTAGGGCTCAGGGTTTGGAGGCTGGTGTTTAAACATCGTAGGTAACAGGTATGGTTTTACGTTACACCCGATCGTCGAAAGGAATTCAACAGTCGACAAGCCAATTCATAAGAACCTCGCTAGTGTTTAAAGCGTGTTTTATATGTTACGTACAGTTGTGCTCAAGATCTTCCCGTCAGACGAGATGAAGCCCATACCTGCCAACTCTTAACGAAAAACCTCACCCCATTTCCAGCGGCAACAATCATACTCCGTCAACGCAAATAATCCCGCTGACAGTTTAAAAAGTGTTTTCCTTGACATACAGACCCATGAAAGAGATCCGCAATTCCTGAGCCCTCGAACGTAAACCCTAAACCCTCAATCCTCTGAAAATACAACACGGATGGTCCATACAGTATCCATCTACAACAACAGCTCTTTTGAAAGAGCCATCGCCTCTGGCAAGCAGTCCCCTAACCCCTGATACCTAGCCAACCCTGTTAAAGAACCCTTATGATACTCTTAAGGAAGCCATATTAATTAGCGTTGAGGTTTCTATCCCTCAGGATACTGTCACAGACCCCACAGCATGTTCAAACCTTATAGCATTTTTTAGGAACCCTTAAAGATCCCTTTCTAAGGGGGGAACCCTTTACGAATTCTTGCCCAAAGGGTCCAAAGTACCTGTATAGTAGAATGTAGGGTTTCTATATTAGGAATTGTTATTATGATTTGGGGAAATATTCCCCATAACAGTATCATAGGGATCCTTAGGGGTGTAGGGGGGAGGGGTGTAGGGGACTACATTTCCTTAAATAGGCTTTATTAGTCCTTATTATGGGCCTTAAGGCCCCCTACCCCCCCTCCCCCTACACCCCTAAGGATCCCTATGACAGTACCTAGGACCCTTTGGGTTGAAGCTTCGGTCCGATCTTTCGCTCTTCTCTAGGAGCTCCGCTTCTTTGCCGACGCGGGCTGCACGAGTCCGCTGCCATCGCCGCGACTCCCAAGCCAAGCGACGGAGGCGAGCTTGAGGGTAATTATAGGGTTCCTCTAAAGGGCTCTACATGATTATAAAGGATCTATAATAGGGTTCTATAATGTAGGGGCCCTAATCATTCGAATAGGGTTTCGGTGCCCATTGTATTCGAATTACAGAAAGGAACCCCCAACATATTATTGATACGAGTGTTCCTTAGAGGGGTTTACGGTGCCTGAAACTGAAATGGGTTTGCAAGGGGAGTACAGGGCTTGGGGTTAGAGTTCCTTAAAGGGGTCTACAAGAGTACTATATAATAGGGTTTTGGATCTAGGTTCAGGGTTAGGGTTTGGGGTTTAAGCTTAGACGAATACACAGGTTTGGTATCAGATCATGGTTTCATACCTCAAAAGTCCAAGTAACTCAGTAGTAGGGTTTCAAGGACCAAAGACCATGTAGAGTATGGGTTTGGGGACCTTAAACCCTACTATTTGGGTACTTGGACCCTGTGGGATAGGGTTTGTCAGACGTGGGTGCAGGGGTTTGGGGCTAAGGTCGGCTAAGGTCTTCCCGCTAGCAGGAGTGTTTGTATATGAGTTATGCGCTGTTTTGAGGCTTTTTCAGGTCTTGAACGATTCCCCTCCGGACGTGAGAAGGCGGCTTTCGAGGTGGAAAACTTGGTGATGAAGATTTCCCTGCAGAGCCAGATGCCTGAGGTCCGGTTCGCTGGCTGGTTACGAAATCTCATAGTCAAAACCTATTGGCAAGAAAGAGTTTTGGTCCACCTCCGGACTATCCAGCACAGCCTCCGGCTTTATATGACTTGCCAAGACAAACATGCAGCTAGCGGCTGAGATTCGCGCCGCGCGTGGAGCTACGTCACTTTCAAATTCCTGGCATACATAGGCTGCCTGCTCACCTTCCTTTCGTCTCTGGGGATCAGTGTTCGCGACACAGGATCCACAAACCTGGGCATGACAATGGCCACGCCCTGTGTGTGTGTGTGTGTGGGGTTGGTGGGTTTCATGGGATTTGGGCTGGAGTTTGAGGCTTCGGGAGTTTCGGTTTCGGGCTTTGATGGTTTGCAGAGTTGGGCTTAGGGCCTTGAGGGTTGAAACGCCTAGAGAAGAAATCCCTCCATGTACCGACCCACAGCATGGACTTGGTGATTACAATGCTATTTACATGTGCCCTTGGGGTAAAGCTGGAGAAGGGTGCGGGAGTGACATGTGATGTCGAAGATTTTGGGATTTGGGGGGGCCCTGGGTTGTGGGTGTCGGGAGTGAAGTATGTCGAGTTCGAGATGGCGAGGCACTGACAGTGACAGCGTTCTGGCTTTTTGGGCTTTTGTGGTCGTGTGTCTTTGCATTCTTAAGCCTGAAACGTCTGGCCGGGGAACTTGGTGCCCCTAGAAAGGCCCTAGTAGACCCGAAACCCTATGTCATCAAATCCCTGTAAAGCCCCCAACTCCCCAAAGCCTAATGCCTCAAAGCTGCAAGTTCATAAGCGACAACGTGATTGTGTAATGTTTATGTTTGTGTTGCGCTTTGGGCTCATGTACATTAAACGACATCTTTGGCATTTTTCCCAGAGATCCTTGCACGAGTTATCGGTGTTGGGAGATGGTGTGGTTATGGCAAAGGGCGTAGGCTTCGAGGTTTAGGGTGTACAGGTGTTTGAGCCTTGGCTCTATGCCGTTTACCAGTAAGGCTTTGAGAAACCAACGGGGCTTATCAACCAAGATGCTGAGGATACTAATTAGCTTTGCTTGCTCTTGTGGCTCCGTAGCGACACATGATGTTTTGTGCTTCATCTCCGATCGCCAGCTGTCCTCTCAGAGGTTCAGAGTTTCGGGCTCCAGAATACAAGGTTTGGGGTTCGATCAACATTGTTGGTCCTCGAACTCTGTCTGTAGTTGCGGCGAACTAAACTGCCAGTTTATGCTTCTCTTGAACACCCACACCCTGGACGCTAAAAGGCCCTGAGACCTAAAACCTAAAGGCCACGAAGGTCCCAGCTCTGCACAGACTACACTTCCGATAAAATGTTCAACCTTTGGACCCCACTGCCCAGCTTGGGGTTTGGGATTTCGGGTTAGGGCAAAGACATCCCGAAATTTCATAGGCCTCAATTCTTTGAACGCAAAAGTCCCTAAGCCCTGAACTGAAACGAAGCCCCCAAGAAGGCTTTGGCTGCCTCCTCTAGGGGTTCTGTGGCTGCGATGAAGGCACCAGTGCCTCACAAGTCTTGACGCGTTCGCGCCAGGGGTCATTTGGTACAGCAGGGTTGTACACGGCTGAAAGCTCTATGCCATGAGCAAAGATAGTGCTTGCACATAGGTACAGCGGCTGCTACTCTACATTTTATCTTCCTCATGGTATGTCAGGAACACATACTCGTACTATATATATATATATATATATATATATTATATATGTATTATATTATATTATATTATATTATAATATAATATAATATAATATAATATAATATACCTATAGAACCTAGAACCGATTAAATAGATGGGTCTATGATATGATCCTAGGTATCGGATGATGGAAGGGCAAGACCTTGGTTCCTGGAAATAGAACCTGGGTTTGGCTGTGAGATCTGCATAGCCTCCAGGAAGTATCACTATGAAAGATAGCAAAACCATTCCAAGTACGGTGCGATATTGAACATCTCTTGGTGCAAGACTTCTGCCGTGCAGGCAATGGCTCTTTCGAGACATGTGTGTCGCAATCGCTTCGCAATGGAATGAGCTGACGCTTTGAGCTTGTGCTTGCGCAGGTCTTAGGGTCAAATATGTCTAAATTTAATACCATGTCATAAACTTATCTCAGCATGCAATGGCTTCCGTCGATTTTCCCCTGGAGCCGCGAACTCAGACCAAAGCATTCAACGGGTCCAGCAGCGCCTGTTGCAGAAGGGGCACTTCATGTTGGCTTGCGGCGTCCCTTTGGGGCTCAAGGATTCGTGCGTGTGAGCTTGAAGGCTTTTCGTTCCGGGGAATGGCTCCTAAGCTACTCGGTGAAGCCTTTGAAAAAGGCCTCGACATTGAAGGGATTCATCTTCGATGGGATGCAGCATCCAATATCCGCAATCGTGTTCGCGACGGGGAGTCATTCTTGCACCCTCGATCCGGCCTTGGCTGCGACAACAGCGTGTGCAGCATGAACTCCTCGGTTCTGCTACCAATATGGTGGCGTATGAGCTCTGTGCCAGACCGCAAATTGCCGTCTGTCATTGATCTTCGTACTGAGATGTCCAGCACCTACAACATGAACCACAGAACCAGCAAGGACGATCAACAGGCAATCATCGGAGAATCTTTGCATGTGCGAAAGATGCTTTCCCACGTAAAGACGAAGGTGAGACGCCGTGAGGTCTCCCTAGCGCTTCAACTTTCAAGTCGTCCTTATTCTTTACGGGTTTTGCTTTTGCCTAAGTGGTTTGTCCTGCTTTTGTCAATTCATATCACGTTTCCGAGGACCCGGTTTTTCAAGAGCTGTGCGTTGCCCTGGACCCGGAACTTGAGGCCAGTTATGGGTAGTGGTAAAGTTTCAGGGGTTTTGGGTTCATACAATGCTCCATTCCAGGCGGTTGTGGAAGCCATCAATGCCAGAAGGCCGCGCACTGCATCTGAGGCGGATGCGGAGGCTGCCAGGGTACGCCTAGTGTTGGGAGCAGAATATTTTCGGAAATCTTTTCTTCTTTTCGAGGAAGACAGCTTTACATTGCCGTTCCTTATCCTTCATGGCCTTGCATATAATGAGTATAGTCTGAGTAGTGAAGCATCCCGCCAGGCCACTGACGAGGACGGGTACGATGCGAATGACCCGGACGGCCCCCCTGACCCACCTGCTCCACCAGCTCCAGCTGCGGCTACGGGCCTTGTGGATCCATCCTCGACCCCAGCTCCTACCCCAGCTCCTGAGACTTCCGGTGATCCATATATTGCCCCCGAAGCAACATCGAACGCAGTTGCAGAAGCCACGACGACCTCGCCATCGAACTCCCAACAGTCTTTAAAGGCCCCAACGACTCCCCAGGCCCTGCCTGCTCCCGTCGAAGCCCCTCCCGCTGCTCCCAGCAAGCCAACGGTGGAAGCGGCTGCAGCTCCTGCTTCTGGTCAATTATATAATTGTTGTTTGTTTTTTTTTTGTACCGCTTTTGGTTTAGCAGGATTTCCTGGCACATTGTGGGAAGATCAGGATTCTGACGCGACTCCATCCACGAAAGGCTTCAGGATGGAAGCAGAAGGCTTCTCGAAGGATTTGTTAAATTGTTTGTTGTCGCTTGTGCTGTTGTTGTGTATGAAAGGCTTCTGTGCTGCAGCTTTCGTGTTGCTTTGACCGCTTTGACCTGCTCGAGGCCGGCGTCTGACTGCTGAGGAGCGTGCTGCGGTTCAGTCAAGAATCGCTGCTCTACGTGAGAAGCTGAAGGAGAAACTCGCTAGCAATATCTCTTTGCTGGATAATTCTAGGAATTGCAGTCGTCGGGCCCCAGGGGTTCGGGTTTGTAGCCAATATGATGGAGCCCAGGCGCCAACGTGAGACGGCCGCCCCTCGTGCTGCTGCAGGAGGACAAGCATGCTGTGAACAGGATGATTAAAGCAATCACGGTCGAAACTGTAGCAGAGTAGCAATGCAGTTCTACCCAGACCATGAAGGACTCTCCCAAGGCCACTCCTTCTCTTCGGCAACTTCTGAAGACACTCAGCCCTTCGATGTCATGTCCATCGACATCCCTGCATCCCGCAGTCCTGCTCCGGAAGCTGTGCCAACAGAGCCCGAGCCGCCAGCCGCCACAGGTGATCCTGCCGAGTCTCCCGAGTTCAGTGAGAGCCCAGAGGAGGCTACGTTGGGGAGCTTTCCATGTGCTGATGTGCAAGAACTTAATATCAATTCAGAATTTAACTCAAATGGGTAGCCAATTTCTGAACTTTTAGTTTTCCTGAAGAAGAAGCAACATATATCGGTTAGTCTTATTGTGTTTCTGATTGCTTTGGTCAGGCAGCGGTGCGCATCACGAGGAGAGATCAGATCCGCTTGAAGGAGCGACGCAAGGCTGCAAATGCACGTGGCCGTTCCAAGGCAAGGAAGCACGGGGGCAAGCTCGGGAAGTTGAGAAAGGGCAAGAGCAAAAAATGGAACCGGGCAAAGGCTCTGTTGAAGAGCAAGCCGGTTCGTGGTGCGCCGAAGAGTGCAGGGTCAGATGGGGTTGGTGATGTGGCTGAGTCCGAGAAGCCGGAGACTCCGGAGAAAGCGGCAAAGCCAAAGCCGAAGGCCTCCGCAAAAGCGAAGGCGAAGGCCACCGCGAAGGCAAAGCCGAAGGCCTCTGCCAAAGCAAAGGCCAAGGCCTCCGCGAAAGCGAAGGCGAAAGCCTCCCCGAAAGCGAAGGCGAAAGCCTCCGCGAAAGCCAAGGCGGCGAAGGCCGCGAAGTTCGAGGACGAGGATGCAGCCGTGGGCACCGACATGCCGAAGAGCAAGCGTGGCCGCAAGAGGAAGAACGCACCTCCGATCTCCAGCAGCCTGCCCATCGCAGAGGCTTTGTGGTGGTACTTTGGTATGAAGGATGAAGATGATGTCCACCTGGCCATGATGCAGTATGTCAAGGAGCATGAGCATAAGGAGCAGTCGCCCGAAGTGCAGGCTGAGTTGAAGGCATCGCTCGAGAGCTTTGAGCTGTGTAGGCTCAACAACTACTGGCATCGACCTGCTGTTGGTGTGCTCATCCACAATGCAAGCAAGAAAGAGATTGCCTACTTCTCGGCAGCCTCGGTCGGCTCCCTCCCCTGGATCAAGAAGATTACCGTTTTGCTCAAAGGGGCTGAGATGCTGTGCACGTACGTTGACAAGTTGGCCAAGGATGGCTACATCCCTTCATCGGGCTTTGGTGAGCACGAACTTATCCAAGAGATGGCTTTTATTTTGAAGACCCAAGCCTTCCAAGCTTTCGAGGCACTCAGCAAGTGAGGTCCTCAAGAAATGATTTGTGCCAACGGTTCTTTCGGCATCCTGTACGTGGCTGCTTCTTTAGCGGCTTGTTGCCGAGCAACGAGCATGGGGATATGGATCTTTTGAGGTCCATCGGGAGCTATTTTAGCAGCGACATAGGAAAGGTGCCTTAGTGGAACCTTTACGCTTTGGGTCCTCAGGTCTGTTCAGCCCTCGAGACTAGGAAACGAAATACCGGCTCGGAGAACCGACCCCCGTCATTATTTCGAAGAGTTCGCCTAGTATCCTTAGCCCTTTACCCATGAACCCCTGAGGATCAAGTGTATGGCCAAGTGTTCCAGTCATGTTGTGCCCGGTCGATGTATTAAACGATGCATATAGTATGGTATATGTACGGCCCTTATAGAACATTGTCCTGGGCACACAGCTTCGGAGGGAGCGACGCTGCCAGCATACGCACCAGGAAAAGCCTGAGCTGGGGAAAACCATTCGCTGTGACAGGCTTCAGGACGCTTGCAAGTTTTCTGTTGGTGTCCTGCTCGGTTACCTCCAAGCCCTATAGAGAAGCCCAGCAAAGCCTTAACCTGCCGAGTGCCTACACCCTCGAAGCTCTGTTATATAAACCCTAAAACAAACAACAAGAAACCATACTAACCCTAAACCCTGAACCCGAAATGTTTACAAAGCTCTCAAAGCATCTTATTAAATCGAGAAACCACCAAAAGCCTAAAACCTGAACCCTTGGAGGATGCTACTGTTCTTGCATTCACCCAGCAAGTTCTGAGAAGCGACCCGATAGCGAAGCCAGCCCAAGCCTAATGAGCCGTCTTAAGTGCTGCCCAGGCCCGACCAGCGATGCCTTTGCTTCCAAAGCACTCTCTTCTGCTGCTGCGAGCCAGAAGCCGAAGCCAGCAGCGCATGGCCGTCCTGTCTTTTGTGCACTCAGGGTTGCTTCCGAAAGCCGTAGGAAAGCTAGATAAGATTTATCCTTGGGTTTTGGGCTAGTATGAGCAACTTCCACACACATGCAGACCCAGTATCAGCTTTGGCCACGTCCCCGCATTTAACCATGTGTAGACTGCTGTGTTTCAGGTTTTGCATGGGATCAGAGGATGTTGTCGGTCCTTTCCGGAGCTTTTCGAGCAACTGCGAAGCCGATCACCTCAGCCATGGATATCAATGCTTTGTGCTATCGCTTGAGGGAGCTGTATGCACCGAAGGCTCAAAACCTCCCGTCCAAAAATACCAGACCCATATGAATTGCGAT